GGGAGAACACATGTGTATTAGTTTGTGTATTTTCAGGGAGAATAGACAAGAAACTGGAAACTCAGTTTGCCTCCATGGAAGAGGACTGGGTCACTGGGGACAAGGTTTGAAGCAAACCCTTTCACTGTGTATTTTTTTTTATACCTTTTGACTTTTAAGGCAGGTGAATTATTTCCTATTCGATAATTAAATAACATCAATTTAAATATATTTACCCGTGATATGTTCTATAACAAGAAATACATAGATGTTGAGTATCTTTAATCTGAAAATTCTAAATCCAAAGTGCTCCAACATCTGAAACTTTTTTAGTACCGACATGATGCTCAAAGGAAATACTCATTGGAGGATTTCGGGTTTCATGTTTGTGAATTAGGGCAGCCCAACCAGTGAAATGCAAATATTCCAAAATCCAAAACAATCTGAAATCCAAAAGACTTCTGGTCTCAAGCATTTTGGATAAGGGATACTCAACCTGTACTGGGTCTTCATCCTGGGTTCCTGGCCCAGAGCATCTAAAACCTTTGTAATTTCCCAAGTGACGGGTGTGCTAGGAGTATCTTTTGTTCTAATATTTTGCCTTTGGCTGTAGTTCCTGACACAGAGCTTCTAAATTCCATGGAATTTCCTGGGTGATAGAATTGTCTTTTGTTCTCATGAGGTGACTCTCAATGGGGCTCCCATATAGGGGTTGGTCACCAGAAAGGCCAAGCCAGGAATAGAAGCTTGGCACTTTCAGCCTCACCCCCATTCTTCAGGGAAAGGAGAGGAGCTGGAGATTGACTTAATAATCAATCATGCCTACATAATGGAGCCTCCGAAAAAAAAAATCCCTGAAATATGAGGTTTGGAGAGCACCATGTGCCGGAAAGGTAGTGCACCCCCACTCCACAGGGATAGAAGCTGCTGCACTTGGGACCTTGTGGACCTCACCCTATGTACCTCTTCATCTGGCTAGCTATTCATCTGTTACTTTTATCATATCTTTTATAATAAGCCAGGAAATGTAAGTAAGTGTTTTCCTGCATTCTGTGAGCCATCATGACAAATTACTAAACCCAAGGAAGGGTCATGGGAACCTCTGATTTATAGCCATTTGATCATATGCGCAGCTGACAGCCTGGATTTGTGATTACCATTTGAAATGGGAAACAGCCTTGTGGGACTGAGTCATTAACCTGTGGGATATGATGCTGCCTCCAGGGAGATAATGTCACATTGATGTTGGAGAATTGGTCAATGTGTGGGAAAAGATCCCTTACATCTGGAGACCAGGAGTATTGAGTGTTGTGAATATAGTAAAATAGTGGTTGCTGGGAGCTGAGTTATGAGGATGCAAAAGCATAAAAATGATATAGTGGACTGTGGGGACTCTGGGAAAAGGGTGGGAGGTGGGTGAGGGATAAAAGACTACACATTGGGTACAGTGTATACTGCTTGCATGATGGGTGCAGCAAAATCTCAGAAATCACCACTAAAGAACTTATTCATGTAACCAAACACTACCTGTTCCCCAAAACCCTATTGAAATAAAACAAAACAAAAAACAAACAAATAGACAAAACAAAGAGAAACAGGGGTTGTTTTTCTTTTCGGATTACCAATGCACCGTTTCAAATGGAATCAGCATTTGAATCCTCTTTTCTATCTGCTGGGATAAGGTTCCAAATAGAAGCAAGTTCTCTATTTTCTCAGCCCAAAGAAAGCCATCATCCAAAAGATTTACCATCTTCTTACCCATAACCATTGGGCTTAGAGCTATAGATGTAGCTGAACCCTCACTTTCTTCTTGTTTGGGGGAGCCTGCCCTGGACACAGTAATTATCATTTACAGAATGCAGGCAAGAAGGAGAAAGAGGAAGAGGAGAAATTGCTAAATCCTGTGTCTACTGGCTTGGAGCTATGTTTCAGGCAGAAAGATCTTTTATTTTATAGCTTCCTCTTCTCTCCTCCGCCCACTAAATGCCTATTTACTAACATTTCTTACCTGGCCATATCATTCTGTACAAGCATTCGGTATACAGTTGCTGCTGAACAGAAGACTGTAATGGGGTACTTGGAGAGTGTCTGCAATTTAGAAAAAGCAAACTCTTGGTCTTACTACAACTTTAATAAGTGCTTAAATGTCTTTGGTTGGCGCAGCACAATTTAAACATTGTTTATGTTAATGTTAATGTAAATGCATTCTTACCGTTTCTTGTAGAATCATCCCTCAGTGTCTGCAGGATTGGTTCCAGGAATGCTTAAGTTCCTTATATAAAATTGTGTGGTATTTGCATATAACCTATGCATATCCTCCCATAAACTTTAAATCTCTAGATTATTTATGCTGCCTAAAACAATGTAAATGCTATGTATATATTTGTTACATGGTATTTTTTATTTGCATTTTTTTAATTGTTGTATTTTGTTTTTTTGTTTTTCTTCCCAAATATTTTCAATACGTGGCTGGCAGAATCAGAGGCTGCAGAACCTGTAGATACAGAGGGGGCCGACTGTATCTTTTCAGGCTTATTGACTTTCTGGATGTGACACATCTTAAATCATATTGTCTACTCTGATCTCTATAAGTTGCTTTATTCACCAGTTCTGTCAGCCATACTGCTTAATGCATTTCTAAATATTGACCTCCCTGTGCTTTGGCTTACTTGCAAGACAGAAGTTGGCTCAAAACGGGGTAAATGGTGTGCAAATACACATGCTCCCTGGATCCATGGAGAAAAAACACTACTCCAGGCAGACTTTGCCCAGCCCGTATCTGAGGTATTCCACATCACATCTGAGGGTGTTAAATCTAGCCAGAACCTGGGAAAACAAAGAGTAGCCCTGATGTACATAGGAAAGTAAATATAAAAGACCAGGACATAAGTCATCATCTTTGCAGTTTTGACACTTCAAGTTGCACTTCTGTAGAAGTATACCTTCCATTTACAGATAATCCTAAGCCAAAACTGCTGTGGGTGTGTGCAGTCATTTTCGGATATCCACTTGTTCCACTGGTAAAGAACATGGCCATGATCTCATTGTGTTTTGTCTTCACACAGGTGTGGCTGTCACTGGCACATCTGCAAAGGAAAAACTACAGTGACTGCATGTTAAACACAGTATCATAGACTGTTACCACTGAAACATTTTGAGAAGCTATCCACTTGAACCTCTTCATGTCGTGAATCAGGGGCCAGTGGGTTAGCCTGAATTACAGGGTAAAAGCCATCACTTTCTCTATCCTTTTGGGGCTTTCTAGAATCAAAACTCAACTTTGTCATCAAAAGCCCATTTGTAATAGCTGTTTTCCTAGCTTTTATTCTACGATCAAGAAGGATTGAAGCATTTTTAAAACTTGAGATTTTTATCATACCTCCCACAGAGTGAGGAGTCTGTGATCTTGCAATCATGGATAAGGAAGAATTTTCCCCTTCCCTCCCCTATGGATGCTTTAAAATGTGATTTTTAAAAATGGGTATGTTAATACAATACATGTTAGTAAAAGTCACGGGTACTGATGGGCCAACGAACTACAGCCTACTGGCAAAATCTGACCTGCCTCTTGTTTCTGTAAGTAAAATGTTATTGCCTATTCATTGATGTATTATCTGTGGTTGCTTTCACACTGCAATGGCAGAGTTGAGTAGCTGTGATGAGACTGACTATATGGCCTGCAAGGCCTTAAGTATTTATTCTCTGTCCCTTTTACAGAAAATGTTTGCTGAGGGTGGGCATGGTGGCTCACGCCTGTAATCCCAGCACTTTGGGAGGCTGAGGCGGGTGAATTACCTGAGGTCAGGAGTTCGAGACCAGCCTGGCCAAAATGGAGAAACCCTGTCTCTACTGAAAATACAAAAATTAGCCAGGAACAGTGACACATACCTGTAATCCCAGCTACTCAGGAGGCTGAGAATTGCTTGAACCTGGGAGGTGGAGGTTGCAGTGAGCCAAGATCGAGCCACTCTACTCCAGCCTAGGTGACAGAGCAAGACTCTGGCTCCAAAAAAAAAAAAAAAAAAAAAGTTTGCCAACTATGAAAGGATGGTTTTTCTGTTTCCCACAAGGGAGTCTACATATATAGACTCTCTGGATATAGTAGACAATAACATTGAACAGGATCTAACCATCCATCCAGGGAAGAAAGAATTCCAGTTAAAGAGAAAGAAAACCTTTTAGTTCCAAAGGATAATCAGACTTCTATACAAATCACACATTAGGGCAGCTGCACGCATACATATCAAGTGTCTAAGATGCACACGGATTTATCCAGGCATGTGGGGATGAGAGTGAGTAGAAACAAAAAGGCCATTCCAGGCCATTCATGAGAAATATAGAAAAGCTATTTTCTTTTGTTCCTTCCTTCCTTCCTTTTTTTTTTTTTTTTTTGTAGACAGGGTCTCTGTCTCTCACCCAGGCTGGAGTGCAGTGGCTCAATCACAGCTCATTGCAGCCTTGACCTCCTGGGTTCAAGCAATCTTCCTACCTCAGCCTCCCAAGTAGGCTGGGACTACAGATGTGCATCATCACGCCTGGCTAATTATTTTTATTTATGTAGAGAAGAGGTTTCACTATGTTTCCCAAGCTGGTCTTGAACTCCTGGACTCAAACCATCATCCCACCTCAGCCTCCTAAAGTGATGCTTTACAAGCATCAGCCACCATGCCTGGCTGAAAAGCTGTTTTCAAAACCTGACAAAGCTACACCAAGTGTTCAGTCTATGATTTCATAATTATCTTAGTTAATTAAAAATACTGTCTATAGGCCAGGCGAAGTGGCTCACACCTGTAATCCCAGCACTTTGGAAGGCCAAGGCAGGCAGATCATGAGGTCAGGAGATTGAGACCATCCTGGCTAACACCGTGAAACCCTGTCTGTACTAAAAATACAAAAGATTAGCTGGGCATAGTGGGACATGCCTGTAATCCCAGCTACTTGGAAGGCTGAGGCAGGAGAATTGCTTGAACTCGGGAGGCGGAGGTTGTAAGCCAAGATTGCGCCACTGCACTCCAGCCTGGGCAACAGAGCGAGACTCCGAGACTTCGTCTAAAGAAAAAAAAAATAGTATCTATAGCTGTGTTCCTATCACTTCCATCACCGATACTGTTGCCCTCAAACCTGAGGCAGGGTTATCGTACTGATCTCTTAGTAGGGGCAGTACATACAGAAGTGAGGAGTGTAGGCTCAGCCCCCATACTGCCTGGGTTTGAAAGTTAGCTCTGCCAGGTACGAGCATTTGACCTTATTCAGCGTATAATTGTAGTACCTAGGTTGCTGTGAGGTTTACATGAGGTAATATATCTGAAGTCCTTAGAATAGTTTCTGGCACATAACCATATCAATATTAACTATGATTGCAATTATAACATTATTTTTATTAGAACAGTACTTGGCCTTTGGCAAGAACTCGATATTAGCGATTTTAAATGCGGTAGGAAAAAGTCCATAGTTGCAAGCATGCTCCCAAATCCTTGAGTAAAGGTAGGAAGCTCATTCTAGAGAAGGACTTTGCTGCCAGCCCAATTCTAAGAATTAACCAGTACCTGGCAAGAGTTCCAAGTAACCCATGGAAGCACTCCATGCTAGGCTTCAGCATCAGTGAAATTCAGTTTTATAATTGCATCCATTAACATTAAGCATTTTTCTTATTTTAACCTGATACCAGTGTTGCTGTCAGCAAGGGAATGGGATAGCCAACACTGAAGGACTGACTGTGATCAATTTCCCTGGGAGATCATAACAGCTCGTGACTGATGCTCTGCTGCACTTCCAAGAGCCCTCTGCAGGAATGAAGGTCTTAATCCCCACAGGTGCTGGGAGCCCTCTTTAGAGATTGCCTTGACTGAAGAGAGCTGCTTTGTTAAAGGTCTTGACTCTTAGGGACAACCCACATCCAATTACTGATCAATGTGGGTGTATAAAGGCCAGGACCTCTTGCTTTAGCTGGGAACAGCTTTGAGGAGCTGTTCAACCTTCAGAGGTCCCAGGGGGTTGACTGAAGGCTTTGTAGGGAATCCATCGCAAATAAATTTCTTTCTCTGCCCAATCCTACATTCTTACCCATCCTTCACAGGTGTTAATCCCAAAAGAACTCCTTAATAAACTTCCTATACACCAATCTCCATCTCAGGGGATCCCAACCTACAAAAAGCACTCCAAGCTCCTTCCTACTTCAGAGTTTAGTACTATTAGTGCAGCAACAACTACCAACTGTTTTTTTTTTTTGCCTGTTGTTTTAATTTGCATTTTTCTAATCACTACTGGGTTTAATATCTTTTTATTGTTGCCCTTCCTTTTGGGAAGCTGTTCTACCATAAGCATGGCTACTCACTTCATCATCTCCTTAATGTTCCCCCACCCCTCTCTGGAGTTCTCTGATACAATCAGCTTGGAGTGCAGATTTTCACATTTGGGTGCAATAGCATCTACTGCTGGGGCTAAAACATCATTGGTGATGATGCAGTTTGCTTTTGAAGATTGTAGTCTGTAGAGAATGTCTTTCTGGGTCAGCTGAGTGGTTCCTGGAATTAAAACTGTCCCTAAAGGGGCAGAAAAGAAACAGTGTTTAGAAGAAAGGCTTCATTACGTTAGTTAGAGTAGTGTAGATACCATCTATACATTCTGTATTTCTCAGAATGAGTTAGTCAGTTTACCAGGAAGGTATCTATTTATCTTACTTCCACTTATCTGCTTTTGCCTTTCAAGGGATTTCAGAGTCTATGACCCTTTTGGCCTAACATGAAAGCATGTTAAATACTGGATAATTATTCTTTATTTGAAGACCATCCATAACTTTGAGCTTGAAGAAGGTTTTGATTGAAAAGTAATATTAACCAATATTTATTATTTGATTATATGTTTTAACTCATTCAGTCCCCACCAAAAAAAATCCCCAAACATAAAAACTATGAATAACTTGCCCAAGATATCACTTAAGTAGTAAGTGACAGTGCAGGAACTGAACCCTGTAGCCTGACTCCAGAACTGTACACTTCACCACTTCAGCTTAGTGCCTCTTAAAACGTATATGATTGCTTTATGATTTCTTTCCAAAAGGACGGGTGGAGGCATTCATCTTTTCTGTGGTTCTATTCCTGCTGGTTGTATATTATACTGTAAGATGAAGTATAAGGATTAAGAGTGTCCTAGAACCAGACACTCTTATAGCTGGGACTTGGGACAAGCCACTTCACCTCTGTGAGCTTCAGGTTCTGCATCTGTAAAACGATATGACAATAATAGTACTTCTCTTACAGGATAATTAGGGGATTAAATGAGTTAAAACATGTAAAGAACTTAGAACCATGCTCAGTAAGCTTTGGGTATTATTTTCTCAAAGGATAAATGGACTCTCAAAAATATATAGATCTTCCTCCTGGGCCCCGCCACCCTTAAGTCCCAGACCCTTAAGAGAGGGATGGAAAGCATTCACTTCACAATAGGTTTTGCTCTTCCCAGGTGACACAGGAGGCAAGACAATTGGGGAACACATGTCTGCCATTCCTGGACTCTGCCATTCCTGGACTCTGCCATTCCTGGACTCTTGACACTGGCTCATCATTTCACTTTGGGAAGGACCAGTCCTCTCCAGCAGGGTTCTTCAAGAAACCGACAACCAGGACCAGAAAACAGGTTCTTTAGAATATCTTTTTTTTTTTTCTAATCAGGGTAACACAACAATTTTTGTGAGGCTGTAATGCTAAGGTTATCTTTTAAAGATGTTCCATCTAGGGATAAGGAATTAGCCTACTATGGCCTAACACTTTCATACAATTTAAAGGCACTCTGTGACAATAAGCCCACACCAGAATCAATGTATCATGATTACTTAGGTGTTCTGGAAAATCTCCCATCCAGCTTAGTATTAAATACGATCAGAAAGCAAACATTACTAACCTGTTCGCAGACAGGCCACATTTGCAAGCCACCACTCTGGGACCCTGGGCAGAATCAGAATTACCCGATCTCCTCTTTGTAGGGAACAGGCTTCTGAAAGTATATTGGCAAATTTTCTGGACAGAGATCCCAGTTCCTCAAAACTCCATCGCACCTCTTCTCCTTTTCCATTGATCCACCAGAAGGCTGGATTTGAAGGTTTCTTTCCAGCCTGAGGAAAGACAAACCAGTCACGGATTTAAAGGTTGTTATACAGCTAAATTCTGGGCCAACTGACTCAATGGAATAGATGAGCTGAAGAAAATTCACAAGTCATTAGTTAGAATATGGATGGAGTATTTGGAAATAACTCTGGGGGAGACACCATCCAGATGGATGACTAGAGATGCCCAGTACTAACCTCCTACCAGAAGGACCAAGACAGTGAGCAGATAACTACATGACAAATAGAATGTCAAACGGATAACACTGGAATTTAGCAAGGAAGTGACAAAACTCTCTGACACCTGAAAACTAGAGATGAAAGTATAGAGAGGGAAGAACAGCAGCTGGCCAGGATCAGCACAGAGCCCAGAGGGACTCCCTGTTTTGGGGAAAATGTAAGTGGAAGATCCTCAGCAGTCCACATTCCCATCACAGATGCCTGAAATCCCACCTACAGGAGAGTCCTCACAGGCCCTGAGCCTAGCAAACGCTGTAGAGTATAGTATACTAGTATAGTATAACACTGTTCCAGAGAGGAAGTTCATACCAGGTCCCCCTGCAAGAAACCCCAGGATCCGAGCTGCTACAGCATGGCATCACTTAAGGAACAGAGCTACCACCATACTACATCTTGCCCTGGGGCCAATAGCCCCTGCATCTCCACATCCCTGGGGCCTTGCTGACATCTCCACACATTCCCCTAGAGGGCTGCAGCATTCCAACACCAGGTGGATCCAGTGATACGGCCAGGCCACTGGCACTCGAGCCTACACACAGCACTCTACACCCCAGGGAACAGGCAGTCCAGCACATCAGGGAGGCTGCCCCAGGACATAAGGCACTAAAGCACACTCCCCAGAGCCTGAGAGCTACCTTCCTGAGCCTGCTGCCATGAACATGATCTTGCCCCCTCTCGTGGCAGAGCCGCTTTGTGCCTGCATTGCCATCTGGGGACCCAAGGACTGGCCCATTCAGGCCGCCACTACTACAAGTATCCATGTGCACTGCCAAAGGACCTGAGGTCTGACTCACTTGAGGCTTACCACCGCTACTGCCAGTGCCCATGAACACCACCTGGGAACCTGAGAATCAGCCTGCCTGGGACCCACTGGAGCCACTGCTGGCACCCTCATGATGAACAAAATAACACCTATCAATAACAATCTTGAATGTAAACAGTTTAAATTCCCCAGTTAAAAGATATGGACTGTATGGACTGACTGAATGGATAAAAAACAAGACCCAACTATAGGCTGCCTACAAGAAACTCACTTCACCTATAAAGATACACATAGATAGGGCCAGGCGCGGTGGCTCAAGCCTGTAATCCCAGCACTTTGGGAGGCCGAGGAGTGGGGAACACGAAGTCAAGAGACTGAGACTATCCAGGCCAACATGGTGAAACCTGTCTCTACTAAAAATACAAAAATTAGCTGGGCATGATGGCATGCACCTGTAGTTCCACCTACTTGGGAGGCTGAGGCAGTAGAATCACTTGAATCCGGGAGGCGGAGGTTGCAGTGAGCTGAGATCACACCACTGCACTCCAGCCTGGCAACAGAGTGAGACTCTGTCAAAAAAAAAAAAAAAAAGAAGATATACATAGAAAATGAAGAGATGGAAAATAATATTTCAAACAAATAGAAACCAAAAATGTGCAGGAATAGCTACGCTTATATCACATAAAATAGACTTTAAGTCAGTAAACACAAAAAGAGGCAAAGAAGGTCATTATATAATGATAAATAGATCAATTCAGCAAGAGGATATAACAATTGTAAATATATATGCACCCAATATCAGTGCACCCAGATATGTAAAGCAAATATCATTAGATGTAAACAGATAGACTCCAATGCAACAACGTTTGGGACTTTAACACTCCACCCCCAGCATTAGACGGATCATCTAGACAGAAAATTAACAAAGAAACATTGGTTTTACACTGCACTTTGGACCAAATGGACCTAACAGATATTTACACAACATTTTATCCAACAGCTACAGAATACACATTCTTCTTCTCATCAGCACATGACATATTCTCCAGAATAGACCATATGTTAGGGCACAAAACAAATTTCAACAAATTTTTAAAAACTGAAATCATACCAAGTATGTTCTTAGACCACAATGGAATAAAACTAGGTATCAGTAACGAGGAACTTTGGAAAGTGTACGCATACATGGAAATTAAACAACATGCTCCTGAATGACCAGTGAGTCAATGATGAAATTGAGAAGGAAAGCAAAAAATTTCTTGAATATAATGAAAATGGAAACATATCAAAATCAATGGGATAAAGCAAACATAGTGTTAAGAGGGAAGTTTATAGCCATAAACACCTATATCAAAAAAGCAGAAAATTTCAAATAAACAATCTAAGAATGCACCTCAAGGAACAAGAAAAGTAATGACAAACTAAACACAAAATTAGTAGAAAGAAAGAAATAATAAAGATCAGAGCAGAAATAAATGAAATTGAGGCAAAAATTACAAAAGATCAACAAAACAAATTTTTTTGAAGAAAAACAAAATAGACAAATCTTTAGTTAGATTAAGAAAAAAAGAGAGAAGACCCAAATAAATAAAATCAGAAATGAAAAAGGAGACATTACAACTGTACCACAGAAATACAAAGGATCATTAAAGACTGTTATGAACAACTATATGCCAACAAATTGGAAAACGTAGAGGAAATGGATAAAGTCCTGGACACACATAACCTACCACGATAGAAAACCTGAACAGACCAATAATGTGTAATGAGATTGAACCAGTAATAAAAAGCCCAGAATTGGATGGCTTTACTGCTGAACTCTACCAAACTTTTAAAAAAGAACTAACACTAAATCTTTTTTTTTTTTGAGACGGAGTCTCCCTCTGTCACCCAGGTTGGAGTGCAGTGGTGCGATCTCGGCTCACTGCAAGCTCCGCCTCCCGGGTTAAAGCGATTCTCCTGCCTCAGCCTCCCTAGTAGCTGGGATTACAGGCATGCACCACCATGCCCGGCTAATTTTTGTATTTTTAGTAGAGACGCGGTTTAACCATGTTGGCCAGGCTGGTCTCGAACTCCTGACCTCAGGTGATCTGCCCGCCTCGGCCTCCCAAAGTGCTGGAATTACGGGCGTGAGCCACCACTCCCAGTCTTAACATTAATTTTTCTGAAAATCTTTTTAAAAATTGAAGAAGAAGGATTTCTTCCTAGTGCATTCTATCAGTCAGCATTACCCTGATACCAAAACTAGACAAAGACACCACACTTCCTAACTTCAAATCACACTACAGAGCTATAGTAACCAAAACATCATGGTACTGGCATAAAAACAAATGCAGAGACCAATGAAACAGAATAGAGAACCCAGAAATAAACCCATGCATTTACATTGAACAGATTTTCAACAAAGGTGCCAAGAACATACACTGAAGAAAGGATATCCTCTTCAGCACATGGTCCGAGGAAAAGTAGTATCCATATGCAGTAGACTAAGACTAGAGCCCTATCTTTCACCATATACAAAAATCAACTCAAACTGGATTATAGACTTAAATGTAAGACTCAAAACTATAAAACAACTGAAGAAAACAGCGCAAATGCTTCAAAGTCATTGATCTAGGCAAATGTTTTATTTTTAATTTTAATTTTAATTTTTTTACTTTTACAAATTTTATAATAAATTTAATAAACTCAAGCAGCTTCCTGAGCCACAGTAGGCTCTGAGACGCCTCTAAGCAAATATTTTAGGGATAAGGATATGAAAACACAGGCAACAAAAACAAAAACAGACAAATGGGACTATACAGAGGTAAAAAGCTTCTGAACAGTAAAGGAAGCAATCAACAGAGAGAAGAGACAGGATGTAGAATGGCATAAAATATTTGTGAACTATTCACCTGACAAGGAATTAATATTCAGAATATACAGGGAATGCAAATAAACCAACACCAAAAACAACCACCACCACCAACCAAACAAAAAACCAAACAAATAATTCAATTAAAAAATGGGCATAGAATCTGAATAGACATTTCTCAAAAGACATACTAATTGGCAGCAAGTATATGCAAAAACGCTCAACATCATTAATCATCAGGGTAGTTCAGATCAAAACCACAATGAGATATGATCTTAACCCAGTTAGAATGGCTACTATCAAAAAGACAAAAGATAACAAATGCTTGAGAGGATGTGGAGAAAAGGGAACTCTTAAACACTATTGGTGAGAATATAAATTAGTACGCCATTGCAGAAAACAATACAGGCTGGGCACGGTGGCTCAAGGCGGGGCGCGGTGGCTCAAGCCTGTAATCCCAGCACTTTGGGAGGCCGAGACGGGAGGATCACGAGGTCAGGAGTTCGAGACCATCCTGGCTAACACGGTGAAACCCCGACTCTACTAAAAAATACAAAAAACTAGCCGGGCGAGGTGGTAGGCGCCTGTAGTCCCGGCTACTCGGGAGGCTGAGGCAGGAGAATGGCGTAAACCCGGGAGGCGGAGCTTGCAGTGAGCTGAGATCCGGCCACTGCACTCCAGCCTGGGCGACACAGCGAGACTCCGTCTCAAAAAAACAAACAAACAAAACAAAAAACAAAAAACAGAAGATGTGGTATATATACACAGTGCAATACTATTCAGCCATAAAAAAGAATGAAATTCAGTTATTTGTGGCAACATGTATGAAGTTGGAGGACATTATGTTAAGTGAAATAAGTCAGACATGGAAAGATAAATGCCACATGTTCTTACTCATATATGGGAGCTTAAAAAAATGAGCTTCACTGAACTTCAGCCTGGGCAACAGAGTAAGACACTGTCTCTTAAAAAAATAAAAAATTAAAAAAATTTTAAAAAAAAGGAGCTCGGCCCAGTGCGATGGGTGGCTCACACCTGTAATACCAGCGCTTTGGGAGGCCAAGGTGGGCAGATCACTTGAGACCAGGAGTTCAAGGTCAGCCTGGCTAACATGGCAAAACCGTGTCTCTACTAAAAATACAAAAATTAGCTGGCATGGTGGCAGGTGCCTGTAGTCCCAGCTACTCCGAAGGCTGAGGCACGAGAATTGCTTGAACCCCTGAGGCGGAGGTTGTAGTGGTTCACACCACTGCACTCCAGCCTGAAAAGAGCTCATAGAAGTAGAGAGTGGAATTGTGGCTATTAGAGGCTGAGAAGGGTAGTGGGGAGGGGAGGATAGAAAGAGGTTGCGTAAGGGATGCAAAATTATAGCTAGATGGGAGGAATGAGTTCTAGTGTTCTATAGCACTGTAGAGTGAAAACAGTTAAGAATAATTTATTGTATATGTTCAAAAAGCTAGTAGAGAGGATTTTGAATGCTCCCAGCACAAAGAAATGATGCATGTTTGAGATGATGGGTAGTCTAATTACCCTGATTTGATCACTACACATTTTATACATGTATCAAAAAATATCTCTGTACCCCATAACTATGTGTAATTATTACACAACTAAAAATAACAGGAAAAATAATAACTTGGGGTCCTTATTTCTAGACATTGGAAGCCATGTCATTTCTTTTGGCCCAAATCATTTCCCATTTAGCCTGATCATTTTTCTTTCCAATAAGTGAGAATTCTTGCATCCTTTATATTTTCCCCAAAGATTTTTCTGTGCCTCCTTTTCTACCATTTCTGACTCTTGGAATTACTTTTCACTCTTCTCCTTTTTTTTTTTTTTTAAGTCAACCTAGAATTCTACAATTATGTAATCCAGGGTCTCTCAACTAACCATGGAACTATTGATATTTTGGGTCAAATAAGTCTTTGTTCTGGAGGCTGCCCTGTGCATTATGGGATATTTAGCAGAATCTCTGGCTTTTACTTGTTAGATGCCAGTAGCAACTGCCTCTGCCCCTATCATGGCAACAAAAATATTTCCAGACATTAGAGATGTTACCTAGGGGTAAAATCACTCCCAGTTGAGAAATTGTGGTCTGGCCTTTCCCCCATACCTTTTCCATATTAGTCCATTGGTCCAGGACATCTTTAGCAAAGTTGAAATACTCTGGAATCTCCAGTTTGAAGTCCTGTTTCATGGATTCATAGTTGGAAAAATTCTGAGGGGTTGCTCTTCTATTATCTTTATGCAATGCCCTCACAGAACCAAAAATTGTTAGGCGCTGGCAACACTTGGCATGATGTAGCATCTTCATGGTGACACAAGCTAGCATCAGTCTTGTTGGAAACTTTAGCACTCAGGATTTGCACAGAGACCAATTCATCTAAAAGACGAGCAAAAGGATATATATTTGTTTCTGTCCTGAAGGTAGCCACACCCCAAAGTGGCTAAGTTTTGTTATTATCATTGATAATCATCATGATGGTACCATTTTCTGCATACACTCTGTGTTCCAAACACTGTGCTCAGTGTTTTATATACACTTTCTTATTAAAGGCTCAGAGAAACCCTGTGAAGTAGGTACTATTATCATCTCTGTTTACAGATTGAGAAAATGACTAGTAAGAGGAATTGGCTGAATTTGAACCCAGAACTTTCAGGTCCTAGTCCATTCTTCAGAATACTGTGCACTATTGACTCCCACATGCATTTCTAAAGAAGTAAAGATCTGGGTCACCCACTTAATCTCACTGAAAGCAAAGGGCTAAGCCTTCTTGTCTAATATCTTTCACCTGCAGATTTCAAAGTAGGGCAGAAATGTTAAGGAGCATTTTTCACAGTGGATAATCTGTAGATGAAGAAATCGAGAGTAGCCCAATAAAAATTAGACATGAAAGCACTGTCACAGTTTATAAACTGTCTAGTTGATAGGCTGCAGTTCCCATCCTCTCAATAGGGGCCCATGCTACTTTCAAGTCCAGGCTTGGAGCTGCATTTACTAGAGATGTAATAATGGGGCTTTAATATTTAGGACTTTTGTGGGGGAGGCCCCTCTCGGCCATTGCCTGCTTCTGTGGGAAATCATTTGATCACAATGTCATTTACTTGGTTGAGGCTGTTAAAAATGCAGTTCTAGGGATTATGAGTGTTTGAAGTTCTCATTATACTTCCTGTAATTTTCCAAATTTCCTACACTGCAATATATATTACTCTCATAATCATTAAATCATCATTCTAACTACAATTCTAGCTGTGTGCCATGTAAGGCAGTCTGGCTATGTGGAAGCATTTCTGTATTGATACATTGCCAAAACAATACATAATTGCAGATGTCAGCTAAATGGAGAGTTTAGCTGACATCTACAATTATTGCGGTTTTACCCTAAACAGAGCTGGTGTTTGGGCATCATGTTGATATACCCAATGCATCAGGAAACGTGGGGACTTCTGTCCTTCCCATTTATTTGTGTGAAGACCTGACAATTCAGTGATCTTGAGCCCTCTGAGACCATCCGGTTTCAGCTTTTTCCTTTTTCACCTGCAAAGAAAACTAGAGACCCAGAGAGGGGAAACAGCCTGCTTCATTCTGTCATACCAGAGTTAGAACTAGAACTCTGGTCTTTGGATTCCCATTTGAATGTTTCTACTATCATTCAACAGGATTTCAACAGAGCAGTGGTTCGCAGTCCCGCTGTACATTTGAATCACCAAGAAAGCATTAAAAAAAAAAAAAAAAAAAAAAAAAAACTCTGATGCCTAGGTCTTGGATCAATTAAATCAGAATATTTGAGAGTGGGCTCTGGGACCATTTATATTTTTTAAAATGTCCTCAGATTTTAATGTGCAGCAGCCATGGTTGAGAATCACTGATTTAGAGGCTTTGATTTGTGAACCAGCATCATCATTATTATCACCTAGAAGCTTGTTAGAAATGCACATTCTCAGGCCCCACTCTAGATCTGCTGTATTGGTAGACGTTGACAAGATCCCAGGTGACTGGTATGTACATTCAAGTGTGAAAAGCACTGGTCTATAGCATGATGGTTAAATACGTTGGCTACTGAGTCATATAGTCATGTGATATGGTCTCCCAGTTTTGCCACTTACGAACTGTGTGACCTTATTTGAATTATTAATCACTCTGAACCTCTGTTTCACATTTTACCAATGGAGCGACTAATAGAACCTCCATCAGAGATTTCTCCTGAAGACTGAATGGGATACTGCATGCGAAATGCTTATCATGGTGCCAAGCATATTACTAGAATAGGGGTCAGCAAACTTTTTCTGTGAAGGGCCAGACACTAAATATTTGAGGCTTTGTGGGCCATATGGTTCTGCTGCAGGTATTTAACTCTGCCATTGACAGAGCAGTCATTGACAATACATAAATACATTTTGGCATGGCTGTGTTCTAATAAAACCTTATTTATGGATACTGACACTAGAATTTCATTTAATTTTCATGTGTCATGAATTGGTGTTCCTCTTTTAGTTATTTTTTCAACCATTAAAAAATTTAAAAACCATTCTTAGTACAAAGGCTATACAAAAACAGGCGGAGGGCTGGATTTGGCCCATGGGCTGCAGTTTGCTTATCTTTGCACTGTGATATAAGCTCTACTAGAGCAGGAGCCTTGTCTGTTTTGTTCCCGGGAAGCATTAGCAAAAATTTCTTGGCAGGCTTTAGGAGAAAAGGCTGCTCTTAAGAACAGAACTAAAATCACTCTGAATCCCAGTTGCCCTGCGGGTTAAGACCTTAAGTCCAACAACGTCATTCTGTTTGGCATTGGGGATTGGGTAGAGAGGGAACTACTGGACCCTGTTGTATGCTGGCAAGTCACAGTCTGTGCTCTTGGGTGCTCTCCTCTTAACAGAATTAGCATCAGGTTTCCTTCAACTGAAAGAAGAAGTAACCAACACTACTTGTCTCTTTCTGTTTTTAATTTTTTTTCGCATAATATCTTCAAATGGCTCAAAAAAACCATAAAAGGTACATACAGAAAAAAAATATCTGCCTCCCACCTCTAGTCTCAAAGCTGCCTGATTTGCTCTCACCCCCAGGAAACCACTATTATTCTTTCTACTTATCTTTTCAGGATTTCTTTATGTGCATTCAAGTAAATTATGAGTATAGATTCTTATTTCTCCACCAATTTTACACAACAGATAGCCCAGAATACACACTATTCTGCCCACTAAAAACATTTTTAACAACCTACCTTTTGAGGGCTTTCCATACCAGTGCACAGAGATCTTCATTCTATTTTTTTAAATAAGTATTTATTTATTTACTCTTTCCTTTTTTTTCCCCCTCTAAAGACAGGATCTCACTCTGTCACCCAGACTGGACTGTAGTGGCACGACCATACCTCACTGCAGCCTTGAACTTCTGGGATGAAGCGATCCTCCTGCCTCAGCCTCCAGAGTACCTGGGATTACAGGTGTGTGCCACCACACCCGGCTAAGTGTTTTTAAAATTTTTTTTTTAGAGATGGGGTCTCGCTATGTTGCCCCGGCTGGTCTCAAACTCCTGACCTCAAGCAATCCTCCTGTACTAAGCACTTTGCAGTTATTTATTATTTTTTCCATTTTACAGACAAGGAAATATACACAAACACACACACAGCCTCACAAAGCACTAGGATTATAGGTGGGAGCCAACACACTTGGCCATGTTTTTTTCTTTTAACAGTTGCATGACATTCTAGTGAAGAACTGCACTGTAATTTCTTAAACTGGTCCCCTATCAATGATCACTTGAGTTTTTGTATAATTTTGCAATTTAGATAAAATGTTGAAACTATTTCTTCCAAAAGGAATGTCCTGATTCTTTCATTACTTGGATGTGAAAATGAATAGTATTTTTAAATGGTTGTGAGGTATTAGAAAAAATTTCTGATTCTATTAAATAAGAGGCAGGAATGTGGACAAATATCATAAGGTCTTGAGCTTCATTCTTGGTAGGTTGGCATGATTCATTTATTTATTCAACAATTATTAATCACTTGCCATGAATTATTTCAGACATAGAGGATATAGGAGGGAATGAAAGAGACAAGGTCCTCCCTGCTCTCATGGAAGGACACATACAGTAAACAAGGGAATAAATAAATGTGATGTTACACAAGAAAACAAAGAGAGTAATGGGAGAAAAGGGACCTTTTAGAAGGTCTCTCTAGGGAGGTAACATTTTTGCAGAGATCTGGCAGGTGGTTGTACTGTTAAGCACTTTGCAGTTAATTATTATTATTTTCATTTTACAGACAAGGAAGTATACACAAACAGACACAAACTGGACCCTGTTGTATGCTGGCAAGTCACAGCCTGTGCTCTTGGGTGCTCTCCTCTTAACAGAATTAGCTGGCAAGTCTAATATTTAAATTGGACAATGCATTTATTCATTACCCATATATTTATTGAACACTTGCTATATGCCAGACCTGTACTAAATGCTGAAAATATAGCTGTGAACAAGACACAGCTGGTCTTGCTCCCATGAAGCTTATAGACTATTAAGGAAGACATTATATAATTATGTAAATATCAATATGATTGGGGATAAATATACCATACTTAGCTTGCTGATTCTGAATAGAATCAAGAGTTTAGTATGATTTCTTCCCTAGCTTCCATACAATACTCTATACCACATTCAGAATCCTTCAAACGTATGTTGAAAAGAAAATTGATCAGTCATTTGGAGCTTAAAATGAACCTAACCATTCTGTTCTACCAAAAAGCAAATATCAACATCCTCTTCATCAAAACCATAAGATTGCCTTCTCCTCAGCAAAGTTCTTTTCCTCCCTTTTCATTGATCTTAGCATTTTACAACTTCTATTTCCCAGGTTTATAAAATTATTTGTAGGTAAAAGAGCTGAGATAACTTTTCCAGGGTGACTCCAGATTTTTATAGTGAGCCACACTGATAAGGAAAACTCTTCTAAGAAAGACAGTACCACCCCTGGTCAGATGGGCTCTGAAAGTATTTAAGGTCTCATCTGAAATGCAAGATCTTTGTTCCTACAGCCAAGGGGGCTTTAGCCTCCCCACATCTCCATAAACATCCTCCCTCTAAGTATAAGAGTAACAACAGTAGTTTAACATATACAGCCTCAATGCAAGGTAAAGCCACTGCTGTTCTCTCCAACCCCAACCAGACCCTGCCTGAAACCCCTCCTGTACAGAACTTTTGCAGCTGCCCTTGACCACCTAAAGGAGAAAACTGGCTGCTCTTAGGTTTGCATCTGTGTTTCTCAAAGTTTCCTAGAAGTAATTTACATACTTTCTGGATGATGCAGAAGATCTGTCACCCAGCGAGGTGGGGAGCTAAGCAGACAGTACAGTGAAAAACTCAGCCACTACCTGGTCTTTTTTTTTTTTTGAGATGGAGTCTTGCTCTGTCGCCCAGGCTCGAGTGCAGTGGTGCAATCTCAGCTTACTGCAACCTCCACCTCCCAGGTTCAAGTGAGTCTCCTGCCTCAGGCTCCCAAGTAGCTGGGGTTACAGGTACCTGCCACCACACCTGGCTAATTTTTTATTTTCAGTAGAGATAGGGTTTCACCATGTTGACCAGGCTGGTCTTGAACTCCTGGCCTTAAGTGATCTTCATCTGCCCACCATAGCCTCCCAAAGTGCTGGGATTACAGGCGTGAGCCACCACATCTGGTTCAATTAAAATTAAAATTTTAAAAAATCAAGTTAACACATGTACATACTTTTTCAAAAAATCAAATAGCACCAAAAGGCTCAATATGAAAACTCAGCTGCTACATTTATAGCCTTTTGTGTGTGCATACAAATAGGCTTAATATCACTTAATAGATAGTATCACACAACTGAGAAATTCTGAGAGAAACTTTGGCTGCCCAAGACTTTAATGACAGCATTTTTGATTGTTGGTTTTGTTCATCTGTTTGTTATCTTTGCTAAAAATCAGACGTGCCAGTTCAGGAAATCTTACACAGGAGAGGAGATGAGGTACTCACTAGTTAACAGATTCCAACACAGCTGGAGATTATGGCAGACTTGTTTCCTAGAAGAGCAGCCCTGAATCTTGAGTTCTCACATCTGCTTTTTCCTCGTAGCAGTCAAAACAAGAGGGAGGAGCAGCCTGATAACCCGGAGGAGCAAGACTGGCCCAAAGCACTTTCCTTGATTGGTGGAGACATTCTGGAGGAGGAGCCAAATTCTGGGCTAAAGTTTACAATGAAAGTTTGCACGACTCCCAGCGGTTCCTCTTACAGGTAATGATTTACATACACGGCAAGCTTTTGAGGGGCCGATAGAGCAAATTATTCACAAGAAGGAAAGTGTCCAAGGAGTTGCTGAAGTGGTTAGTTCTGTAAAGGGGCAAAGAAAGCACTTTTCAGAAGGAGGAAAGAACAGATGGAGGAAGCCATAGAGAAGTTTTGAAATTGAAAGGAAAGAAGTTGAGGGGTGGTTATGGGTTGGCTTAAATCTCAGCAAACACGTTGATGTGTTTATCTGTTGAAGTGGCAGGACTAAACATAAACGCTATCAGGTTACTTACTCCCCTGCTCAGCTCTTTCAGTGCTTCTCTTTCCTTTCCAGGTAAAATCCGAGTCCTTACATGAATTGCAAGGAGTTGCATAATCTGGCACAAGGTCCTCTGATTCACAGCCCATTCCCCTTCCTCTGCCTCACTGAGGACAGCCACCAGCCTCTTTGCTTTTTCTCAAACACACTTGCCTGTTTCAGCCTCAGGCTTTCTGAATTCACAGTTTCCACTGATTGGAAGTCTTCCCTCAGATATCCCCCTGGCCAAATTCTTCATTTTATGAGGTGTCCTATTAAATAACTCTTCCCTTACCACGTTTTTCTAAAGTACTATTCTTCATTTTTTCTCTTTTACCTTTTTTTTTTTTTTTTTTTTAACTTTTTACATCTCTTACTATCACCCTTGAGGGTAAAAACTCTTTTGTTTGATGGTGTATCTATTGCCTGGAATAGCTACTGGCAAATTTTAGGCATTCAATAAATAGTTGATGGATTTGTGAATAAATAAAGGACTCTTTCAATTACACGTGATAGAGACCCAACTTAAATTTACTTAAAGAGGAATTTGTTGGTCACTTTTGAGTTCTAGGAATCTTCCGTTGTTGATTCCTTGGGATTTTCTGTGTAATCACAATACCTGTAAATAAGTAAACAGATTTTACTTATTTCTTTTAGATCTATATGCCTTTTATTTCCTTTTCTTGCCTTATTGCACAAGCTAGAATGTCTAGCTCTACGTTGAATAAGAGTGATGAGAGCAGACATCCTTGCCTTGCTTTTGATCTTAGAGGGAAAACATTCAGTCTTTCATGGTGAGGTACAATATTAGCTATAGGTTTTGTGTCAATGCCCTTTATCAAGTTGAGGAAATTCTCTTCTATTTCTATTTTTTTCTGAGAATTTTTATCATTAATAGGTGTTGAATTTTGGCAAGTGTTTTTTCTGCATCAGTTACTATAAGCATGTGGTGTTTTCTTCTTTAGCCTGTTAATAAGATAGATGACACTGATCTTCTAATATTGAACCAGCCTTGCCTCCCTGGAATAAACCTCGCTTGGTCCTAGTGTATATTTCTTTTTCTGTATTGCTGAATTCTATAGTTATGTCTCTTGACAAATTTTAGAAGTTTTCAGCCATTATTTCTTGGAGTAAATTTTTAGTCCCCATGTAGATCTTTTATGATAGTTTCACGGGTCCCTGAGGCTCTGTTCTTTTTTTTTCCTTTTTTCCAATTCTAGTTTCTTTCTGTTGTTCAGGTTGAGTAAATTCTGGCTTCCAGTTCTTTGATTTTTTTCTTCTGTTATTTCTATTCTGATGTTAAGCTCATTATTAGAGATAGGGAAAAAAAGGGTTTTTTTCCTCTCACATAGCACTCAACATAATGTTAGCAGTGGTGAATCCATACGGATCTACAGTAACTTGATTCTTGCCTCTTCAAAGGAAATAATTCATCCAAGAGGCATCATAAGGCAGAGTGAGAGACTGAGGCAAGTTTTTGAGCAGGAGTGATAGTTTATTAGAAAGTTTTAGAGCAGGAACCAAAGGAAGAGGGGCAAGCAGGCAACTTGAGAGATCCAGGTGCCCTGTTTGACTTTTGACTTGGGGTTGTATACATTGGCATGCTGCCAAGGTTTTGTATCTCTCCTTTGATTTTTCCTTGGCATGGGCTGTCTGCATGCGCAGTGGCCTGTCAGCACTTGGGAGGGGCTGTATGTGCAGTGCCTTTTACTGACGTTGTGCACATGCTCATTTGAGGCACTTTTCCCTTACCAGTCAAGTGTTCCTAGAGGAAAGTTGTATACCAGTTAAACTCTGCCACTTTGCCACTTTGTATGCATG